TTAGAAGGGAAAAAAAAAACCCTGGGATTTTGAAAGGTTAAGTCCTTTACATACATTCTACCCCTATTTTGTTCTGCAATATACTAGAAGGCAAGATTTTTCTATTTCACTCCACATATATATTCAAACACCAAGCCTCACTATAAATACCTCATTGGGTGACAACCTTTCAATTTTATTTCAGTCAGAGGGTTATAGTCTGGTTTTTTGGGTTTTTTTTTTACATAAAGCCTGTCATTTTTCAATTAAAATAAATCAAAGCTGCAAGTAGGGAGTCTTCTGAACACATGGAGAGAACTAAAATACTTTACTAGATAATATCATAAATAATGCTTTCATCTTTTCCCAAAGTATCGCATTCCATCCCTTCTGATGCAAATTCAAAGATCTAGCAATATCTATTTGTCTTATACCCAATACCCAACGCATGGAATGAACCAGAGGTAGTAGCAACCGTCAGAGAGATAAACCCACGCCCCGACGGCTTAGAAAACCTAGTCGTGCTTTCCAAGCACGGAGTAGCTGTAGAGTTGTCGGGAATCCGGTTTTTGTTACTGCTGCAAACTCAGCAGGCATATTTAGAAATACAGGAACTAAACATAGCATCCTCCAACGGCATCCGGGAGCTAGCTAGCGTCGCGGTCCAACACACGTTTACTCCGAAGTAATGGCCACACCGCGGCTTACTCTCAGGGAAGCATACACCCAAGGCTAATCCAAGAAGATCCGATCCAACGTGCTTCCGAGAACCCAAGCAACAGACTCCTGTGTCAAGTGGACAACATCCGAACCCAGCAGCGTTGCTTACCAACACCCCGGAAAAATGGCAGGGTTACAAGCTAGCCAGCGCACCGCCCAGCCCTCCACGTTTCAGCTTTCCTGCTTCGGAAGAACGGCGGTCCCTGATCCCATCGCTTAGCGCCCTTCCTCCGGCCGCCGCAGGACGAGAGCAGCTGGTTGTAGAAATGCCTTTATATCCGCGACCGGAGCCCCCAAACTCAGATTGAGACGGGAGAGAAAGCAAGCGAAGAGAAAGGGCGCGGGGAGAGCGATCCAGACCGCAGGTATTTCTCCTCCGTTGGGGTGGCGGAAGGCAAGAAAGGAGAACTTGGCGTGGGTTGCAACCCTGCTCTCTCGGACCGCAAAGAGGCATCCGACAACCTGGCTGTCGAGCGTGACAACCTGTAGACTGGGGTTTGGAAGAAGTTACTGGAGGGGGGGGGCGCGGGCGAGGGGCCACAGAAGGAAAGGCTGTTCAGGCCAACTTGCAACCTTTCTACCCACCTGCTCGCCCACGCAGAAGCCCACTCTCCCTCCCCCTCTTCCCCGGATCCTCTCCGGCAAAGGCAACACCTTTCTGCGTCCACCTCGCGCGGGGCTCCTACTCACCTCGCAACGTCCCGGCTCCGCCGAGCAGTGCAAACAACAATCCAAGACAGACGCAAGGTGCGGTCCTGCCGTCCACGCTGCCAGCCCCCATGGCGATGGAAAAGAAGAGCGGGAAGAGAGGGCGAACTCTACCTGCCTGGCTTACTCCGGGAATGCGACGTTGCCTTTCCAGCGGCGGCGGCGGCGGCAGGAACAACCCACCCGCCGCCCGGCTCTAGACTAAAGCCGAGCAATCGCGCGCCTGCATCCCAATTAGACTCCCTCCTCCCCGACAGCCAATTAGGCGAAGGCTGGGCGGAGCCAGCGGCTGAAGGGGTGGGGCGGGCCGGAAAGCGAAGCCAAAAGCGAGAGTTGTCACCAACTCGCTGGGCGGCTTTGCTCTCGCCGGCTCCCTTTTGCGCTCGCCTTCGCCGGCGGCGGCAGTCTACGAGCCTCCGCTGGCCGCTGCTGCAGTCGCTTTCTGCCTCTTCTGGAGCCGGCTGTGGTTTCTAGCGTCCTTCACTTGGAGAGGGCTTTGGAAGTGACGCCGGCTGCTATTCGAGTTTCTTTCCTTCTGCACCCCCCACCCCCTCAAAAAAACCAAACCCAACCATCCTCATAAGACAGCGCTGAAAGACACCGCGGAACTTACCGCTGAGTAAATGGCAACTCCTGCCTTGTTTGCCTTCGGACTACTGGCTGGTTGAGTTGACCTAGGCTGAGTTTGGGAAGGGCTAAAAAGGCTTCTCTTCGATTGATACTTGGATTGATGACCATAGATAAAACTCCATCGGGAAACGGGATAATGGACGTCTCCAAATAAGGCAAGGCGCTTTCACAATGGCCAAAATATCTACAAGGTTGCACCCTTGATGTCATCAGGTGTTCATTTGGACTGGGAGGAAACTTGGCACTTGCAGTTAAAGGTGCTTCTGTGTTACTGTAGGGCAGTGGTTCCCAAACTTGGCAACTTTAAGACTTCTGGACTTCAACTCCCAGAATTCTCCAGCCAGAGCTGGCTGGAGAATTCTGGGAGTTGAAGTCCACAAGTCTTAAAGTTGCCAAGTTTGGGAATCACTGCTGTAGGGCATCTATACCCTAGTTGTGATAAGGTTGCAATGCAATAAGCTAAACTTTTATCCTTTTTCCCCCATTTGCTTCTTTATTTCCACTTCCTTTCCCTTTATTCTCTTTTCCTTTTCACCTCTTTTCTCTTTCTGTCTACTCGAATTCTCTTTTCTATCTCATTACACAGAAGCAGAAATAAATAATCAGACTACTTTATGAACCCATTTGTGTGGTTTTTGGTATCTTTGAATCAGGCTGATTCCTGGTGACTATCTGCAGGGGTTTTTTTGGTAAGATTTCAGAAGTGGTTTGCCATTGCTTCCTTCCTAGGGCTGAGAGAGAATGACTGGCCAAAGGTCAGCCTTGCTTTGTGATTATCTTGCTTTGTGCTTAAGGCAAGCCTAGAACTCATGGCCTCCTGATTCCTAGCATGTTACTTTCACTGTTATATCACACTGGCTCTCTGTGTACTGTATGTGATTTAACCTGTCATTAAGTTAACCCAATGGGTTATCTCTTTAAAACATTCTAAGACATACAAGTTAAAATTAAACAAGTTTAAACTGTTTCCAAATATAATCACTCAACCTGAAATTTCCCCCATTAAACTACCTATGAGGATGTTACTATTTCTAACTTGCATGCATGTGTTGCTTACTGCAAAA